ATCACATAAATCTAACGACACCATCTCAACTGAAATTTAGCCTTTTAACAATACCAATAAGCCTTAGAGCCAGAATTCTCATCTCCCCTTCATTTCCAAGAGAACCGATTCTAAATCCATATCCGGTATCAGTTCAACCAGCTACAACCACTCATGCCTACACCCACAGAGTACAACTACACAACATACACACCACACATAGGCCTACAATAACATTCCTGTTCACAATACTTGCCAGAAATCAAATCTTGCACCAGCCATAAGCCTCATATTCGATAGGAACCCGTTTCAAACCTCCACAACACTAACGATGATACAATAACCATGAAAACCACATAACTAACACCTGAATCGTCAAATCACAACTAATACCAACGGCACACCCCCACAAGCTAAAACTCAAGAAGCACAGAACGAAAATGACTGAATATGGAAAGGGAAACACATAAAGGAACTATCAAACAAGTCCGTCAAGCACAAATTTTTTTCTATCAAAATTAATTTACAAAACAATCTAACAAGAAAGAATTAAAGCATATAAAAGAATCACAAGGATCTCATACTGATATAACTCCTACCGCGGTACACAACCCGGTCTCAACATATCAAATCAAATAAAATAATGAGGGCCCCGCCCTCAACTCTGAATCACAAGTAGGGTACACATCAAATCAGATGGAAACTCTCACTAGATCAATCCAGTCAACAAAAATTACAACACGTACTAGCTCCCACACCGGTGGAGCAAAAAACCACGGCTCGTAGCCAAAAATACTCATAAATCACATCAAGCCTACCGATAAGGATAACAGGAATTTATCACTAGTCTCATAACTCTCAACAAGGACTAGAAACAGACGATAGGCACGGCTATCACTCATAGAACCTCCCAACCGGGTAATCATATAAACAGAGTGCAAATCATGAAACGCACCCATAACGTGGAGCAACGAGATAGGGGGANTTTGTAGCATTCTTGTGCGGTGCGTGGCTCGCCTCGAATACTGAATACTCCCCATGGGGTAGGGAATTTGATCACTTGGTAGAGGCTTGAAGGGACCGCTCGCATGGCGTGTATCCACGGCGTCCTATGATGACGTTGTACGCCGTTTCTTGGTTCATCACGTGGAAAGTTGTTTCCAGCGTGACTCCTCCCGCTAAGACGGGCAGTGCTATTTCTCCGGACGTCCGTTCCACTGCATTGTTAAAACCGGTTAGTGTTATGCAGCGCGGTATTACCCTATCCTCGAGTCCCATTTGTACGAGGACCCTTGGGTGGATAATACAGGCGCCACTTCCGTCATCGATCATGACTCTCTTAACATCCGTATCAGCGATACGTAAAGTGATAACTAAAGCATCATAATGAGGGAAAGACAAACCGTCGGCATCAGACTTATCGAAGGTGATACTATCTTCGAAGTCGTCATACCGTTCATGGGCGATGGTCCGCTTTAGTCTGTGTGTGGTGGCGAACTTGACGTGATTGATCACTGACTCGTCGCCGCCTCCGACGATCATGTTTATCGTGCGCGCTGGGGAAGGTGGCTTCGGCGGCCCGTGGGGTTGTTCCCGTCCGCGTGCAAAGTTGATTTTCCCTTTGTCACTGAGTAACTCCCTCAGGTATCCCTGGTTCAGCATCCTGACCACCTCTTGCCGTAGGCCTATGCAGTCTTCGATTTTGTGTCCTCGTTCCTGATGGAACTCACATAGGGCGTTTGATTTCCTTGTGGCAGGGTCTGATTTCATCTTCTGCGGCCAATGCACCTTGGTGCCCAGCTTCTCCAGTGCGTACACTATTTCTGAGGGAGATACACAAAAGTTATGGGCGGTTAATAAAGGGGGCGTACCTCTTTCATTTCGGAGTGGGGCGACGTGTCGCTGTAGCGCGTCTGTATGCCTTGGTGGCGGATGGGAGGATCTGGTGTATGGCTGATGTCGATCTTTGTTGGAGCGGGGGAGTTATTCTCGTCGTCCTTCGTTCCGTCGATCTCTCCTCGTTTTCGAGTGTATCGCTGTTAGCCGTTGGGTCGGCCCATTAAGATCGTCCTCGTCCGCTCGTACCCCGGCGCAATAGGCGTTGTGGATTTCCTCCCATGTGGTAGGGGGATATTTCATGAGGCGGCTCAGCAGCTTCTTGGTTGCCCTCGAACCATCTCTGCTTAGCCCGTTCTGGAAAGCGGCGACTGCCATACCTTCCGATACGTTTGGTAGACTCATCCTTACCCTGTTAAACCTTGCCAGGAAGTCCCTGAGTCCCTCTCCTGTGTTTTGCCTGACGGCGAAGATGTCGTTGACCCTGGCCTCCGCTTTCTTCGCGCCTGCTTGGGCCGTGACGAACTTATCCGCCATTTCCTCGAACGTTGATATTGCCTTAGCCGGTAGCTGAGAGTACCATGTTAAGGCCCCTCCTGTCAACGTTTCGCCAAACTTCTTCAGCAGTACCGACGATACCTGTTCTTTCGATAGGTCGTTGCCCTTCACAGCGGTGACGTAGTGGATCAGATGATCCTCGGGATCTGTGGTTCCATCATATACCCTCAAGTAGGGTGGCATCTGGAAGGTTTTTGGGGTGGAGTGAGGGGCAGCTTCTTCAGTGTATGGTTGTTCAACGAACCTTCCCACGTCGCGTTTTGGTAGCAACTTAGGAGCACCGGGGATCTTGTCGACCCTCTCCTGATGTTCCTTCATCTGACCGCGGAGTGCCTTGTTTTCATTTTCCATTTCTTCCATCTTCTTTAGGATGGCTGTTAGCGTGCCATCGTTGGTCTGTGTCTCGATGGGTTTGTTATTCGCTAGTGTAACTTCTGGTTCACCCACGGCAGCAGTGGTACCTACCGTTGGTGTACATCCGATGCTACTTTGTGGTGACCTCTCAACCAAGCCACTTAGAGTGCTTGTTAGCCATCTTTCCAGTAGCTCTTTGACCGCTGAGGGTGCTTCCGTAACCGTAGATGTGGAAGCTCCTTTTTCGTGCAAGATCGTGAGACCTTCGGATGGGGAAGGTGAGATCTCTGCACCTGGTGTGATGCTAGGGGTTGCATTCAGGATGCCATCGTCACTGGCCTCGTTGAGAGAGCTAAGGAGATTGGTAGTGACACCCAATATACCTTTCGATCTTGTGTTATTTTCGGCCATTTTGTTTTTGGTGGTGTAGAGAATGGTAGATGGTTGATCTCTAGGTGGATACTATGGTTTTGATTCTCGAAATCCCCACAGACGGCGCCAAATTGTTTGGCTCAAAAGTTAACAATATACTTTGTAAGCTAAAAAATAATCAAAAATAGGAAAAGGGTAAATCGTAATCAAATATAATAATCCTAGAGATGCAAAGATGATAATATTGTTGTAGATCTGGTATTGCAAAGAGACAGTATGAACTCAATAAGATACGTTCGTTTGAAGTAGAGATAGAGAGAGAAAGCCAGAAAAATGAGAGAGATGTATTAGATCAGATGCCCCCTTTTACAATGCGAGGGTCTCCTTTATATAATAAGAGACCCTCCTCGAAAGAATCAAAAAGTTACAAAGACAGGTAACGTCTCCCTAGTGAAGACACTGAGTCCTAAACGATGTCGCTTTTGTCCCCACGGTCGGGTCGTACCCGCTACGTTAGTTGGCGTACACTCACTGGACGTACCCACTGGCGTAGAGATGCTGATGGTCAAATTTGGCCCTATACAGTCATAAGTCTTTTGGCTTCATATGTTGACTGGCCCGTAGAAGAAGAGAGAGATGACCGTTTGAGAGACTTGCACAAAAATGGGGCGGACAACCTCTGTTCTTGGCTGAGCATCGATGGATTTTGTATGAAAATGGCAAGAGGAAAGAGATAGGTGGGAGAGAGGGGTGGGGTAAGAGGCGTTGGATTTGTGGAAAAATTCATTAACAATTAAATGTAGGATTTTTGGAATCCAAAAGAGGAATATTTCTAGTGGAAGAATCTAGAAAAGATTCAAGACTTGGGCTAATATTTTGGGCTTAATTAAGGAATTACTTGGGCTGTCTTGTGGACTATTGTTTGGGCTGGTAGAGTTAGTAGAGAATTATTGGGCACTAAATAAGCTCAATTATTACCTTTCTTCTTTCTAAATTCTTTAGGCTTCTAATAATCTACAATAGTAATATTAATGTTAAAATAATCAAGTAACTAACTTATTTATTATACCTAATTATAATTACTAACGTTTAAATAAAACACTAATCATAAGATGCCGCAAGATTTATTAAACGGAAAAGGGCCAAAAATACCCCTATCGTATGGTAAATGGTTTATAAAAGCCCCCCTGTCCATCTATCCGTCTGAAAATATATAGGACGTTATTTCTAATTTCAAATTTACCCCCGTGACTAACGAAATTCCATGTGTGCATCTCATTAACTGATGTGGCCTTATTTTATTTGTCAAACGTGGATCAGTGGGGCTAACATTATATTTGGGTATTTTTTTACCCATTAAACCGATCCGACCCATTTATTTTACCTATGGGTCAGTCTTTTAACCCTAAACCCATCGACAAAATACTTACTTTTTACCATTTCTCTCATTTCTTCTATCTAAACTATCAATGGCGATTTTAGGGCTTCGTTAGGGTTCATTGTCTGGTCCGATTTGGTGCGCTCAAAACAGGAAGACCTTTGATTTCCAGCGATATCTTGCATTATTATTCGATTAAAGTAAGTATTTACAACTTAAAGTTATTAAATTGTAGGGTTGGGGAATATTTGGGAACTGACAGGTTTATGTCTGCTGCATGTGATATTTTTATGTTTTGTGAGCTATTTTTTGTACCTTTCTAGAATTTTTTATGTTACTTTTCTTTTGGTGGTCCTTATCGTTTTGGTCCTACATATTTAAGCTATGATTTTTGTCGATTTGTATATTTAATTGATGGTGGGGTTTCATATCTTTATATTTTTACTGTCGCTTTGTATTATACTGCTGATGTGGTCCCATTTTGCCCTTTTTTATTGTTGTTGCATGTGATTTTATCAGAAGGATGGTGGATAAAGTGAACTTATATTTTAATTATGGGGGTGAGTGGGTATTGGAACCTACGTTGTCTTATACTAAGAGAGATGTGCACGTGTTGAGTGGTTATGAAGTAGACCATCTCTCTTATATTGATTTGTGTAAAGAATACACTGAAGTGATAGGATATGTTGAGGTACAACAACTGATATTTCTTGACCCTTCTGGGAGGTATTTTTTGTTAGATGGGGACGAAGGGATTAGGAAGATTCAATCCCTAATTAATGATGGTTTCACTAATGTACAATTATTTGGTGTTGACCTCTTGGATAATACTGTAAATGTTCCTGTATTTACCCAGTATACATCAACAATAGATAGTGTACCTGTTGTTGTAGCTTCTGACTGTGATAGTACTGAAGATGATACAGATATTGAAAGTGTTGATAGTGATTATTATAGTAATGCCCTAGGTTTATTTGAGAGGCAGAAGAAGTGTGAGGTAACTGACAACCTTGATAGGTATAAAACATTGGAAAAGGGTATGACTTTCAAAGATCTTGCTGAAGCTAAGGAGGTTATTGGTTATTATGTTGTGTGTAATAAGAGGGGCCTTAAGGTAGATAAGAGTGATAAGAGAAGACTTAGATACAAGTGTCAGATAGGGTGTCCCTTTAAATGTCTTATTTCTAAGGATGGCAAAGATCAAGGGGTAAAGATAAAAACTTTAAGGGATGAACATGACTGTGGTGAAGTCTTTGAGAACAGAAGAGCTACTCCTGCTGCTTTAGCACATTATTTTAAGAGAAAGATTCAAAATAAACCTAAGTTTAAGATTAAAGAGATGAAGGTTGATTTAGAGGATATATTTAGTTTGAATGTGAGTGACTCAAAGTGAAAAAGGGTAAAGAGAATGGTTTTAGAGAAATTGGAGGGTTCTTACTTGGGATGAGTACAATAAATTAGAGGCATATGCTCAAGAGTTGAGAGAAACAAACCCTAGTACTGATGTGGTGATACAGATATCCAAGGATGCAATGGAGGAAGGTAAGAGAAGATTTTTGAGGATGTATGTCAATTTCCAGGCCCTCAAGAGTGGATTCAAAGCAGGTTTGAGACCTTTTATAGGTCTAGATGGAACATTTTTAAAAGGCAAATGCAAAGGGATGTTATTAGTTGCTTGTTCTCAAGATTCTTGCAAGCATTTTTATCCACTAGCTTGGGCTGTAGTGGATAAGGAAACAAAGACAACCTGGCAGTGGTTCATGGAGAACTTGAAGGCTTCTTTGGACTTGAGAGATGGTGAAGGGTACACATTCATGTCAGATATGCAGAAGGTATGTTACCATATGTAGATTTTTACATTCAGCAGATTTTTACATTTAGCACATTCTTTGTTGATGTAGTGTTTCTTCATGTGTAGGGTCTGTTAGATGCTGTGAGGAATGTATATTTACAATCATATCACAGATATTGTGCAAGGCATATTGAAGCAAATTGAAGCAAAAAATGGAATATTGATGAGATGAAAAAGTTAATGTGGTGGTGTTCTTGGAGCACATATGAGGAGGAATTTAAGGACATGTTGAAACAGTTAGGTGAAGTTTCTGAGGATGCTGTCAGGGACTTGCTGAATTATCCTCCAGTAACCTGGTGTAGAGCTTACTTTGATACCCAATGTAAGAATCCAATGGTGGACAACAACTTTACAGAGTCCTTCAACTCTTGGATTCTTGAAGCTAGACATAAACCAATAGTGAAGATGCTTGAGGATATAAGAGTGAAGGTGAAGTTAACTACTTTGACTAACTGCTTGTTTACTGATTTAATATTGTTGATTAACTACTGATTTACTACTGTTGAATAATTACTATGTAACTGATTTCATACTGTTGAATAACTACTGATTTACTATGTTACTGATTAACTATTGAAGGTGATGAATCAACTAAAGGATAGAGCAGAAGAAGCTAACAGTTGGAGAGGTGAATACAGCCCATATGCAATCGAGTTATACAATGATTATAGAGAGATGGCTTCAAAGTGCAAGGAAAATTTTAATGGAGAAAAGGGTTTTGAAATAAGTGAAGGTGAAGACAGGCACACAGTGATTCTGGAACAACAAAGGTGCACATGCAGGCTTTGGGACTTGTTTGGAATCCCTTGTTCTCATGCTATCAGGGCATTCTTATATAAGAAACAAGACCCAACACTTGGGATTCACTGGTGGTATTCCAAACAAGCCTGGCAGTTGGTGTATCAGCACAAACTGCAGCCTGATAGAGGTGAAAGATTCTGGAAAGTTGAGCCACACCAAGCCATGGATCCACCACCACTAGCAAAGATGGTTGGTAGACCTAAAGTGAAAAGGTCAAGCGAGAAGGATGAAGCTAGGAAAAGGCAAGGACAATGTCAACATCTAGGAAGGGTCTTCAGATGACTTGCAATTTTTGTGGCTAGCCAAATCATAATAAAAGAAGTTGTCCATTAGCCAACAAGGTAACTCACAATCTGTATTTTTACTCACAAGATAACATATATATTTGATTATAATTACAGTCAAAGAAAGTGCAAGACCACATTCAGACAAATGAAGACCAAGAATCAGAATTTTTTATGGTCCCTACTCCGGGTCTTAAAGCACAAGACCAACAATCCAGTCAGAACACTCAGCAGCCAACTCAGCCATCCAGTCATGACACTCAGCAGCCAAGTCAGCAATCCAGTCAGACCACTCAGCAGCCAACTCATCCATCCAGTCATGACACTCAGCAGCCAAGTCAGTAATCCAGTCAGGACACTCAAATGCCAACTCAGCACTCCAGCACTCAAAGTATTCAGACCAGAAGAAGGCTTATTCAAGCAGACTTTGGTGCAGAAGCTGACCCAGTCTTGAGGCCTAAGGTTGTGTCTGATATTAAGACTAGACTTCAGCGTAGGAATCAACAAAATTCTGGCACTAGGAAGATACCATTCACAGGTGATCACACTAGTAGCTCACAACCAACANATAAAGGGAACAGTTCAACACGGGAAAACTAACGTATAGCGACGATTCCACAATATACAAGTCAATAACAAGGAAATCAACGCGAGTCAAGTAGTCCCAAATAAGGGCAAGTCAACAAAGATATAGGTTATCAAACTCCTTTTAAGGTTGGACAATTTCGAGGATATTCGACAATTCAATTAGGGAAGGATGATCTTTAGCGTCACTTAAGACTAAACAAAATTTCAGGAAGGATAATAATGATTCTCAAATAAGACAAACAGCTAGGAAAAGATAGCATAACAATAGGAGAGGCGAAATTCTTCAATTAAATCAAATAGGAGTCGGTTAAGCAATAAGAGTGAATTATGAAGCAATTATTTCCAATCAAGCATGTAGATGTGAAACTAGTAAATAGGAAACTCAGTCATGTCAAGAACACATTCATACATAGTGAATATAAAGACCTAAGAACTCTAAAAGACCAATTTTTCACAGATAAGTCCGAGCACGCACTCGTCACCTCGCGTACACGAACTACAGTCAACATAGAAGACTCAATCCTAGGGGGAAGTCCCCCACACAAGGTTAGGCAAGATACTTACCTCAAAGACGACACACTGATACTCTAAAATGCACTTCTCGGGTGAAAAGATCTCCGGACGGCTCAAATCTAACCAAATTAACTTCAAAGCACAAATTAAAAGGTAAAAATGAAGATAGATTCATGGAATATGCTAGATTCTAGGTGAAGAACACTTACCTAATCGATTTTCTTGAAAAACCCCAAAAGAAGCTCCCAAGTGCGAAGTTAAAAACTCAAAATATGAAGAAAATGACTAAACATCAATATAAAAGGATTCTGCCAGGACTTCCGCATCTGCGGTCAAGTAACCGCATCTGCGGGACCGCATTTGCGAGAAAGAGTCCGCATCTGCGAACTTTGACTACTTGGCCTGGAACCGCATCTGCGAAAATTAACCGCACCAGCGGCACCGCAGGAGCGGAAAGAGGAGCTGCAGAAGCGAGAAATTACCCTGGCGTACATGACCGCAGAAACGACGGGGCTCACGCAGAAGCGGAGCCGCACCTGCGCTCCAAGGTCGTAGGTGCGAAAACACCAAAACCAGACCTGTTTAAAACTATGCAAAACATCTGAACCTCGTCCGAAACACACTCGAGGCCCCCCGGAACCCCTCTAAACACACAAGCAAGTCTTACAACCTAAAACGGACTCGCTTGAGGTCTCAAATACACATCAAACAATAGCCGAAACGACGAACCACACCATGAATCGAACTTAGGAACTTTCAAATCCTCCAACTTCGAAAACTTGTGCCGAAACTAATCAATCAACTCGGAATGACGCCAAATTTTGCAGACAAGTCCAAAATGACATAACGGAGCTGCTCCAGCTCTCAAAATTGTATTCCGACCCCGATATCGCAAAAGTCAACTATGGGTCAAACTTCTATATTTTTCAAACCTCAACTTTTCCAACTTTCGCTGAAACGCCTCAATTACCCTACGGACCTTCAAATCTGAATCGGGATGCGCGCCTAAGTCCAAAATCACCATACAAAGCTGTAGAGATCACCCAAAACCCATTCCGGGGCCGTTTACTCAAAAGTCAAATTCCAGTCAAACTCCCACAACTAGATTCCTTCTTCCAATTTGACTCTAAATCATCCGTTAACTGAATTCAACCATGCACGCAAGTCGATACTCATATTATGAAGTTGTTCCAGACCTTACGCGCTGGACGGAGCTTAAATTCTCAAAACGACCGGGCGGGTCGTTACATCCCCCCTCTTAAAACCTACGTTCGTCCTCGAACGTACCAAGATTCGCCTCGAAGTCCTCAAATCATTGAATGCACACTTCCACGTCACCCCAATCCACATAAATCTGACGACACATTCTCAACTGAAATTTAGCCTTTCTAACAATACCATTAAGCCTTAGAGACAAAATCCCCATCTCCCATTCATTTCCAAGAGACCCGATTCTAAATCCATATCCGGTATCAGTTTCAACTAGCTGCAACCACTTATGCCTACGCCCACAGAGTACAACCACACAACATACACACCGCACATAGGCCTATAATAACATTCCTGATCACAATACTTGCCCGAAATCAAATCCTGCACCGGCCATAAGCCTCATATTCGATAGGAACCCGTTTCAAACCTCCACAACACTAACGATGATACAATAACCACGAAAACCACATAACTAACACCCGAATCACCAAATCACAACTAATACCAATGGTCACACACCCCACAAGCTAAAACTCAAGAAGCACAAAACGAAAATGACTGAATATGGAAAGGGAAACACATAAAGGAACTATCAAAGAAGTCCGTCAAGCACAAATTTTTTTCTATCAAAATTAATTTACAAAACAATCTAACAAGAAAGAATTAAAGCATATAAAAGAATCACAAGGATCTCATACTGATATAACTCCTACCGCGGTACACAACCCGGTCTCAACATATCAAATCAAATAAAATAATGAGGGCCCCGCCCTCAACTCTGAATCACAAGTAGGGTACACATCAAATCAGATGGAAACTCTCACTAGATCAATCCAGTCAACAAAAATTACAACACGTACTAGCTCCCACACCGGTGGAGCAAAAAACCACGGCTCGTAGCCAAAAATACTCATAAATCACATCAAGCCTACCGATAAGGATAACAGGAATTTATCACTAGTCTCATAACTCTCAACAAGGACTAGAAACAGACGATAGGCACGGCTATCACTCATAGAACCTCCCAACCGGGTAATCATATAAACAGAGTGCAAATCATGAAACGCACCCATAAGTGGAGCAACAGATAGGGGAACTTACCCCGATAAGCAGAACTGAAATGAAATACGGATGGTGCTCCTCCATAACAAATCGAAAGCATACCTGAATGACATCATCTGGCGCAGCGGCCTCAAGCCTACCATGTAGGACACATCAACAGGCCGGGCCTCCCCCTCTTGGCACTCTCTACTCGCCTGAATACCTCACCGTAGCACATCGGCCCGAAGTATGGGACAATCTCTCACCATATGGCTAATATCTCCACACTTGAAGGAACTTCTCTACTGACGTGGTTGTGGGGACTGTGCGGTACCGGTACTCTAAGACCCATGAATACCTGAATCACTGAGTGAAGCCTGAAGCTCAAACTGAACTGGCTGACCCACTAAACCTCTGCTATGTCGCACCCTGCCTCCAAAATAAGGACCAGCAAATCTCTCCGGTCTACGAGGCCTCCTTGCCAACCTGTACTCTCTCTCTCCTAATCTCGTCTCCCCTCTCTCTCATGGCTAGCATGCCCTCCACCCTCCTAGCAATACTCACGGTCTGCTGATACGAAATATTTATCTCCAACTCTCGGCCATGCTAGTCCTGATGCTGGGATGGAGTCCCTCAATAAACCGGCGGACCCTTTCCCGAACAGTAGAAACCAAGGTCGGCGCATGTCTGGCCAATCACCGAATCTGATAGCGTACTCTAATACTGACACAGTGCCCTGGCGCAGCTGCTCAAACTTCGCGCGCCATACATCCCGGAGGGACTGAGGTACGAACTCTCTCAGGAACATCTCTGAAAATTGAATCCATGTAAGTGAAACTGACTCGGCTGGGCTACCCAACTCATATGCCCGCCACCCCTGATAAGTCGCTCCCCTAAGCTGGAACATAGTAAAAGCAACCCCACTCGACTCAACAATATCCATAGTGCGGAGAATGCGATCGCACTCCTCCAGAAAACCCTGCACTCTCTAAAGCCGAACCATTGAATGTAGGAGGTTCACTCTTTCTTGAACCTTGCAAATCTAAGTTGCTTTTCCTCGGATGTTGCTGCCCTGGCTATGGGCTGAACTGGACCCACAAATTGTGTCGCCATGACACCTGGAACCTGACCAACGGAAACTCGCTGCTCTGAGTGTGGTCTAGCTGCAGCACGTACCCCTCGTCGGCCTCTGCCTCTGTCTCTAGCGATACCTACTCTGAAAGTAGCGTCATCGATAACCGCAGCTCGTGTCCTCACCGTCAGTGAGAGAATGGAAGGAGAAAAGTCCAAACTCCAAGATCAATAAGCTCGCACGACAAGAGTGAAGGAAGTGAGATTGTCCTAATAGTTCCATAGCCTCTCGAAGATAAGTACAGACGTCCCCGTACCGATCCGCAAAACTCTACTAAACTCGCTTATGACTCGTAGCACCTATGAACCTAGAGCTCTGATACCAACATGTCACTACCCAATTTCCCCTCCATTGGGTTTCGTGATGGCACCTAGTCTTAAGGACTGTGTAAGCCTAATAATTGTGGAATAATAACATCTGAAATTATTCTGAAATGAATCCTTTATACCATGAACATCTTCCCAAAACCCGGTAGTACAAGCCATAAGCTCTACAAAGTTTCGCTACAATTT